TATCCCCTTACCCTCAGGATATCGCTACTCCCACTACGTTCCTGAGGGTTTATCTGTCCTGAATCCCTGTCTCTTCCTCTCTTTCTTACTTTCTGCTGTCCTCTCTTCACTCGGTCTTCCAATCGCCCCTCACCCTGCCCCCTGACTCTCATTCCAATCTAAACACCCAGGCAGGCCGTTAACCCTAATAAAGTCTATTAATTACCACCACCCCCAAGAGATAAAAATGAATGTTTTAATGAAGTCCTAATCTTGCATGCACCGCTCCAAACACAGAGGCGAGGTGCCTCATCTGGCAGTGAAGCAGGAGTTTCCGGCAGTACTGGAAGTCAGGTAGAGGCCATACTCAAACTATTGAAAAAGTAGAATGGAACATTAACTATTCGAAATTGAGACTGGGGCCCATGAGAAGGCGCCCCTTCTTTAAAAGTCCCCGCTAACTCATGCACCAATCCCTTAATGATGGGAACTGTGGGCAGGGGTCTCTGCTGAGGGGCTGGCATGGATTCATTTGTGCTTTTTAGTCCAATGCAGGAAAAGAGGCACTGTCCCCTCCTGAGTCTTGTCATTAGCTGCTGCTGAGTCAGCCCTGGACTTGTGGCGACCTCATGCACCACAGAACTGGACTGTCGTGACCCACAGAGTTCCCACTGGCTGATTCTTTTTGGCAGTAGATCACCAGGCCTTGCTTCCTAGTCTGTCTTAGTCTGGAAGCACCACTGAAACAGCAGCATGCAAGTCCAGTCAGGACCCTCATAATTAACCACACTAATTAAAACGTGTGCTTATCAAACAGCATGAAGAATGTCAAAAGACAACCAGCACATTGCAGCATGGCCCATGCAAAAATATCTTACAAAGCAGTCAGAAAAGGATGAGGACTCTGGAAAATAAAACCGGCAATTCCAAAATGAATCATCCTAACGGGTCAATGCACATGGGGGTGGGGGGGCGTGTATAACTTCACCAGCTATCAGAGAAATGCAAACTCAAACAAGATATTTTAAAATTACAAACAGTAATCATGCAGAGCACTTATGCGTGGCAGCACTCTTACAAGTGGTTTACTTGTCTTTCTTCCTTTACTCAGTGTAATAAGCCTACTTACCAATCTCCACACTGGTGGAAAATGGAATCATACTAAATGCTCCACAATTGCTCCTTGGCAAATCTACCATTTACAGATCACAAACTATGTATGCTCCACAATTGCTCCTTGGCAAATCTACCATTTACAGATCACAAACTATGTATTGTCCACTCGATGTGAAACAACACAATTATGAAACATAAGGAGAGGACATAGATAAATATTTGTTGATACTACAACATCCTCAACTTGTATTATTGCATGAGGAAAGGCTATAAAATGGCATTAAATCATAGAGGCATGTCTGCATAGAAAAATGGTGACAAGTAAGTAAGTAGGGGCTAACTTGGAGGGGTGGGATTTCAAGCTATTTTGATCTTTTATCTGTATTTTCTAGCTGTCTACAGCCAATATTTTTTAAGTAACTGTAACAATAGGCTAAAAAAAGAGAAAGAAATCCAACCCAACAATTGTTGAGGACAGCGTAGGACTGAGCAAAGCTTCATTCTGTTATACATGTACTTGCTATAAATCCGGGCTGACCTCGTAGGAACCTAACACCACCAGCACTTACTTATCAGTGTAATTTTAAAATGGAAGGACACACTGATGTACACTGTTGGGCTGAATTCCCTAGGAAAATGTGTATGTGTGTGCATTAGGAAGGAGACTGATTTGCACAAAGGCAATGGCTCACACAGTTGTAGAAGTGGGATGTTCAGTCTGAGTTCTGTAGGTCAGATGTTAAGCAGGAGGCTTCTCCTGACTCGTAACTTTGGGGCTAATGAACCCAAGATTGGCTGGAATACCACAGGCTGCTAACAGATTGCAAAGGCAGAGAAATCCAAGGTCAGGCTTGTAACTGGGGAGACCAACAATTCCAAGGTCAGCAGGTCAAAGGGCAAGCCCAGCAAACAGCAAGCAAGCAAGCTTTTCCAGTGTTTATATATATATATATAATGTTTATAGTATATATATATATATATATATGAAGTAGACCACACCCAAGAAAACGTTCTTTCAATTGCATCAGGGCTATGACCTGAGTAAGGGGGTCACATTCCACCCTAATCTTTTTACAACTGATCCCGTTATGGAGTTGATTAAATTGTGTAAGTTCACAGCATGGGGGAGATAAAAAAAATCAATCAAACTCACTGCTGTTGAATTGATTCAGACTCATAGCAACCCTATAGGACAGGACAGCATTACCCCTGTGGGTTTCTGAGACTGTAACTCTATAGAAGCGGAAGCCTCAAGGCCTTAATTGCCAAACCACTGAGAATCCTGGCCCAACCAGGTTGACACAAAATCTGTCACACGATGTGTTGAGTGATATATAGCACTTCACCAAGATATAAGGAAAAAACACAAACAAACCCTCATTGTACTGAAATTCTCAGAATAATACAATTAGTTAATTCCGATCGTTAAGCATTGCCTTGAAAATTCAGGGATGAGATCTGAATCTCCCAGGAAGACTGGATTTTCATGAGCTATCAGAAAACGTGCCTGTACTTTGCAGCACAGATCTGTGCCAAACCTGAGGCGACTATGTTCAAAGAACTGCTTCCCAAGAACCACCTCCCTGGCCTCTCCAGAAAATGCTGTATGCACACATGTGCTGAGCCAACTGACTCAGGCCTAGCCATTCACCTCCGCGCTTGAGCAGGAGCACAGAGTCTAGCACAGGCTGGGGGCCGCACTTCCAAAAGGGACTATGGATTCGTGAAGGTCCATGATTTTCTGTCCGATTCTGAGTACAGGGACAGGATGGTGGCAGTCAAAGGATGCACAAAAACGGAATAAATTCTTTCATTTATTAATACTATACACATTTATGGACAACCAAGCAATAGATTAGGAGCTGGGGAGAGCTGAGCATACCACGAGCCTGGCTCCAAGGAGATGAGAGAGTTATACCAACTGGGGCAGATGTAAAATCCGATGGCCGCACCGACACTGTGTACAAAGCACAGAGGTGCAAAGGGACAGAAACACCCCCGTCTGTCCGGGGAACCAGGGAGGCTCCATGTGAGGGAGCCATAGATCCGGTCAATCTTTCCAAATGCAGGGAAGCCAAGAGTACTGCTACACATCCCGGACAAAACGTGTTTCAATCGGCTCTGCACTCCGTGGATGGCTGTAGACAAGTTCTCTTAGCAATGCTCTTATCTTGGTCTTGTTTGGGTGCTTTAAAAAAAAGTCCACTGAAAAGTGGCTCCCGAGGGTACCTGCTGGGCTAGAGAATTCATGGTACAGAGGTCAGTCAGCTCAGATGGTTCTGGGGACTATTTTTCAGGATTCCCAAAGGGTTATCTTGATAAATTTTCTCCAAGGACATCAGAAAATCATAGGAGATTAATGAGGATGGAGTTTTAAGAAAATTGAAAACTGCATTGGTGGGAAAAAAGACAGGGCATTTGTACCAAGGAATTTTTTCCCCACGATGACAACTTATCTTCTGGTTCTTTGAGGGCAGCAAGGGCATCCCTATGAGAATGCCATTGGGAAACCTCCCCCCATTCACCCTACAGTCCTGACCTTGTCCCTTCAGGCTTTTGTTTCCCAAACTCCAAGGACGTTGAAGAGGAACACGTTGAGTCCCTCACGGATACCCAGACCGCCGTCTCGACACGTCGGGGAAGTGAAGCGCACAGAATGGTTTGGGGAAGGTTAGAGACGTGGGAAGATGAGCGTCAGAAGTGTGCGGACGGAGGTGGAGGGTATGTTGAGGACCAATAGCTTCACATGTTGTTGGTGTTTTTAATAAAGGTTTGTTATGATCTTATAGCAATCCTTTCTGACTGTACCCTCCTAGATTGCTATTATTGTTCTGTGCCAGCAAGTAGATTCCCACCCATAGGGACCCCGGGGATGGAGCAGAACCACTGCCTTGGGCTTTCTACGCTAAAAATATTTATGATAGTAGCTCATGACCCCCCTGCCCCCACCACTGGAACAGCGGGTGGGTTAAAGCCATCTTCAGTGGTTATACCATCAGGGTTCCTTATACACAATTATGTGTTAGGTACCAAAATACTGCTAGGCATGATTAGTGTTAGGAAATTTAGGGTGGTATATCTCAGTATTCACCTTTTCTTCCTCCAAGATTGGAGAAAATACACCCCACATCATTAGTTCATTGGCACATAGGTAGTCATTTTATCGTGTCAGCGTCTTTCATCTCCATGCAGAACTCTCAGGTAAACTAAAATGGAGAAAATTCCAGATCTCGGGACCTCATGCATAAAGTTACCTGCCAAGGTGGTGCACACACACCTCCCCACGTCCCCCATTTCAGGCAAATGTAGACAGAAGGTGGCAGTAAGGTGGAAGTCCATATGGAAGGGATAGACGTGAGGGGTGGGGTACTGCCCAGGTGTGCTTGCTGGATGGGAACAAAACACCCCAGAGGACAAGAGGGCAAGCTGCGTAAGAGCAGCAACTCGTGACCTGGCGTCCTGTTCCCCAGGGAGCCATACCCAATGAATGTGAGCTCCCTGCGGGGACGAGGGAATCGTGGGAAAGGAAGGTAGGCACAGTTTCCTGACAGATACCCTTCTCCTTTAGAAGGGGGACTAAAAGGGAGGTACGGGTGACGTCAGGCTAGGTGGAGAAACACTTCCCGAGATTGAAATGTTGTTGGTGTTGTTTAATAAAGCACTAAAACAAATTTTAAAAAAGGTATTCTGCTCCAAAGGAGAAATATGAGGGAGCTGCAAAAAAAAGTGTGGAAAATGCCATGACCGTTTCACCCTCTTAAAGATGAAGGGGTCCTCAAACTACGGCCCGCGGGCCACATGTGGCCCACCAGTGCCCCCCCCCTTTTTTTTTTACTTCAAAATAAGATATGAGCAGTGAGCATAGGAATTTGTTTATAGCTTTTTTTAAAACTCTAGTCCCTCCCTCCAACGGGTCTGAGGGGCCGTTTAAAAAGTTTGAGGACCGCTGGTAGAGCAGAGAATGCCCCTACTGACCACCAGGTGGCAATGCAAACCAAGTGTAGCTCGGTTGTCTGGGTCCAAGAGGCAGGGTGGAAGCTGAGTGTTAAAACCCAGTGTCCATAGTGGTCTATTAAAACTGCTTAAAATCCAGGTGGTGAACGCACCTGCCAAAACAGGATAGGGAGGGAATTAATCTTTCCTGTCTAAATCCTTAATCAGTTCTTTATTTGCAACTAGCTTGTTCAATCAAATATTTAATCAACTGCTCAAGTGTTGGGGTTGAGCTAGGCATAGAAGATAGGAAAAAACACATTCACCAGTAGTCAAGCCATTTTCTCCAGTAACCAAAAGGGCAGATATAAACAGCCCTCCTCTATCAGGTTAAACTCAAATACGTTAAAGTAACAAACAACCCTCAAACCCCGATGGCTTTATCATACAATGTCCTTTGGGTTCACGTTACACGTCTCCCTCAGGTTAACAGAGGGCCTACCACACAGAGATGCCTATGTTTATGGTGGCTCCGCCATCTTTTGGCTGCAGAGTCTCTTCTGTGGTTGTACAGGGATGAGGAGAGAGAGGACTACATCACGGCTTTTCGTCTCAGCCTGGAAAGCACACACACCGTTACACTTACATTTCATTGCTCTGCACTAATCACAGGACCCCACCTAACTACTCCTAGAAGAGTTAGTGAGCAGACATAAGACAGTGGGTTACTCTGCTGCAAAGGAGCTCTTTCCATCATTAGAAAGCAAAAACGTCTCTGAGGATTGAGACGGATCTGACCCAGGTCATGGTACTTTCAAACACTTCCAGTGAAAAATGGACAATGAATCAAAAAGACTGAATCACAAGGCCTTTGAATCATGGTGTTAGCAAATAATATTAAACGTATCAAGGACTGCCAGAAGAATGAACCAAACCTGTCTTGGAAATACAGCCAGGTTCCCCAGAAATGAGGCTGGCAAGATTTCATTCCATATACTTTGGACGGGTTACCAGGAAGGCCCAGTCCCTGGAAAGGGTCATCAGGTTGGCATGTCAGCATCTAGGAGACAGACTGACAGTGGGCTCACACATGGCGCAGTGAGAGGATGGCGCAGGACTGGGGAGTGTTTTGCTTTATATAGGGTTGTTCTGAGCCAGCACGGACTAGTTGGAACCTGACCCCCAGGACTATTTGTGCTATGGTTTATTTTGCTCCTACTACACTAGTAATGGCATTGTGCTTACCTGCTTGTCAATCCGTCACCCTGTCTGGATTCACTCTCCCTGGGTAGCGACCTCATCTTGCTTATGACGGTGCTTTGGTACCTAACAGGGTCAGGCACATGGTCTATGCAGTGTTTGGTGAGTAAATGAACAAGGACAGAAAGTAAAGGCAAGTTAAAGGAAGGTGAAGATACCACTTGGAAGTATTCGTTTAGGAGAAGCTGCCCTACCTGATAAAATAGCCAAAAGAACCCTGTCAATTTTTCAAGTCAAACCAAGCTTATTAAATAAGAGCTCATATTGGGGTATGAAGTTTCCAATCACAAAAAAACCCCTCCTATGTGGAAAGGAGGGGACAAAGGGCCCCAGGGACACTGAAGGGCGTTGGAAAAACCCTCTGACCCTGAGCAATGGCACGAGTAAACTGGACGCAGAGGGAAGGGTACACCTGCCCTCTCACAGTAAGCTTTTGGAGCTGAGAAGGTCTAGGTGCTAAATCCTGGCTGAGTCAAGCTTTTCCAACTGTTTTTCCTTTGTAAGAAAAAAAAGTGATTAATCCCGTGGAGTTGCTGCTTGCTTGCTTAGAGTGGCTTTATGGGCCTCAAGTCTGAAAAACAAGGACACTGTCAGTTTTAAGTGACTCTTCAGCCAGGTTTAGACCAGCTGCCCCTGGTTAACTGACCAATAGCATTCCTTATTTTTCACTGTCAATTGCCTTGGCTCAGATAATTAAATGCAAGGCCATTCACTTCAAACCAAACCAAACTCACTGCCATCCATTGGATTCTGCCTCAGAGTGACTCCCCAGGGCAGAGTAGAAGTGTCCCTGTGGGTTTCCAAGACTGCCTATCTCTACAAGAGTAAAAAGCTTCATTTTTCTCCCCCAGAATGCATGGTGGCTTTGAACTGCTGACCTTGAGGGTTGCAGCCTAACAGATAACTACTAAGACACCAGGGCTCCTCTAAGGCTTTCAACGGGCCAGGGAGGGCAAAGAGTGACTTGGGAGTCCTAGGAAGGGATAGAGCAAGCAAGGTCTTTTTGTTGATTACACACCCAACTTCTGCTGGGCTGGGCATCTACCAGTCTATTTTAGGACTAATAGGTGGGGTTCTTTAATGGGTTTCAACCACTTCCTGAAGAACAGGGTGTGGGTAAAAGGGGTTGGGGGTGGGCGTAAGGTGAACTCCTCAGTCAGGCTTTGAAGAGTCCTTCAGGGCATCTGAGCATCAGTTTCCTTATCTGTAAAGTGTGGGTCATATTTACCTCCAAAGGCTGTTCCTCTGGTTTAAAAGTGGCCACGGTTCTTCCATCACATGAACAGAGACCCTGAGGTTAAGCAGGCACTTTGTGCGGACCAAGGCTCATAATGACGACAGCTACTGGCTATGGGCCAGCGACTCGACCAGGCAGGGTTCAAGTATCTGGCTTAGAGATACAGACGTGTCAGAGAGAGCACTTACGGAAGGCTCCACCAATGACTGGGGTGAGACTGACCTCAGGAAGTCTTACTGAAAACCTGGGCTCCACCTACCTACCTAAAGTTAAACGGACGATTCGGCCGCGATCGCGGTCGCTTTCCAAGCTCTCAAACCGGCGCTCTCGCCATTCCCCGGCCGGGCTCCGCAGAAACCCAATGGTGGACGAGGGCCAAGCACAACAAAGGGCAGGGGGAGCGCTGGGGCAAAACCCGAAGCTGTCCCGCACACCGAGATCACTGAAGCCCAGCAGACCACCGTGGGATGCTGCCGGTTCACCCCAGGAAAGGTCACCTTTCAGACGTG